AAAAGCATTAAAGTTTATTGAAGAAAATATTAAGTTTATTGAAGAAAAATATTAAAGTTTATTGAAAAAAATATTAAAGCTTATTGAAGAAAAATATTAAAGTTTATTGAAGAAAAATATTAAAGTTTATTGAATAAAAAATATTAAAGTTTATTGAATATGAAAATATTTATTTTGTTTATTTGTTTACCGAAGAGACAGCGTCAGAAAACCTTCAGAGGTAGCTTCGTGGATTCTTGTTTTACGGGAGGCTTATGACGGAGGCTTGATACATGTGGCTTGTTTATTATTTTAGGGGAACGCGTATGCTTTACTCGCAAATAAAATGTTTACGCGATCATTATTAAATTTTAAATAGTAAAATTAAGAAAATACGGCAAAGAAGTGTCACACCCAAATGTTTTTCGGTTCATGTGCCAAACTTTTTTCAGATCGTCGTTTCATCATCGTTATTATCATTCTAATTCATTCTAAATTAAAAATGACCAATGAAATGTGCTCATTAGAATCATATCACATGGTCCGAAAAAATTTTGGTGGTGAATTTTACCAGGTTGTAATATAATGGATGGCTTAGAACTTACCGTTACCCGAATTTGGTATAATTAGAGTAATTTAGCACCACAGATATGTAACAGATAAATGTTAACAAACTTATGTAAGGACCTGCATCTCAGCCAACTGACATACTGACATTTCAAAAAGCATCTGATATTGTCATAAGATCTAGACCAGATGAACAACGTGATTACGTACGTACGTACATACGTTCGTGCGTACGTACTTTCACTGAAGATTATATTACCAAATTTGACAATGGGGAGAGTTAAAGAAAATCTTTTTGGATAAATAAAGATTAATGTTCGAGTCTTAAATGCTTAATAAGTATAGCACCGAGAAATTTGATAACCGTGGATAAGGAGGAACTCGTTAGAAGTAATGTAAATAAAATCTATTGAATATATATGCTAGTTTTCTGATCGACTTACATCATAATATAAAGAGCTACTCCGATGCGTCTGTTGTATCATGGTCGCTCTATTGAATTCTATTTGTACAACAAAATTTTGTAAACAATAATGAAGGGGTTATCTCTGTGCGCAAATACAAGAACGAGTCATTATATGGTAGGGTTTATACAATAAATATCCGTGCTTTTGTTTAAAAACAATCGGCGTTAGACTAATAAATGCGCACAAACCAAGAAAGATTAACGCGAACATCAAAAATTGTGCAGATGATTGAATAAGGGCCTAGAGCATGTCTGGACTCATATAGCTTATTTAATAAGCGTATAAACAAAAACCATTTGCAGCCTTAATAAGGACGGATTGTCATAAATGTGATGAATTTTGCGAAAAATTTTTTTCTACGAAAAAATTTAATACTCTTTAATCATAATCATCCTTTCTTATTCATTTTTATCTTTGACTTCACATTCTCTCGGTAATTTCTTATATCATACATTTATACTGCAGTAAACCGCTTTAACTTGAATCTTGTAAGTAGAAAGCTTTGTCGTTGTTAAAAATATATATGTTAATTTTTTAAATTATAAAAAAAATTTTTTTTTTTTATCAACAACTTATATTAGGAAAAAAATGTCTTGCGATAAAAATGATACTGATGTGGAATCATCCAATCGTGCTCATATTGTTGCAATTGCAGTTCGAGAAGCTTGCTGCTTAGCAACAAGTACAAACAAACAAGATTGGGAAAAGGCGCATCAGATGATAATTCAGAACAAACATTTAATTGAGGATGAAAAAAATGTGATAATTAATCTTTTACGTCCTAGTGCTGTAAGTATAATTTTAAAATAAACACCATTTTACAATTCCATTTTACAATTATGCTTTATACTTATGACATATTTTCTTATTAGAATTGAGAATTGCACTACGGATATCTTTCCTTAAATCTTCAAAACCCCTTTTAATTCCTCGATACCAACCTTCGAATCATATTCTACTTGATTCTAATAGCATCATGAACTTTGTTTTAAATTATTGAGATGTTAAGAATCTATTAATTCCAGAGTGCCGCTTAATCTTTTTTTATACTTTCACTTTAAGCACATAATTTTGTAAATTTAATACGCTGTCAAGGTCAAGACCATATTATTTATGCGGTCTATATGTATAATTGAATTATCTTAAAATATGTATTATAGCACTGTAATATTACAAGCACCTTACGTTTATTTTAAAGCAAAAACTGATAACATTATATCATTTATTGATTATTATGATGTCTAAGAAACCAATATGTAATTACTATAAGTCGATAGCACGCGCAACACATGATTAAAAATTTTGTTTTTCCTATAATGTATATTATTTCCTTATTTTCTTCTTATATTGTACTTTATTAATGAAATTACATAAATTTAACAATATTTACTTGTAAAATTTACTTTATTACTTTACGTGTATAAAATCCAATCTTGAAGAACGTGCTAAAAAAGTGATAGTGTCTTAAATTCTTATGCAAATTGTCACGAGTGATCTGTAATTGATCTATCAAACAATATTGATTTGAATTGAAACTATATGGCTACATATTTTAAGCGGATACGTATCACTTCACCGACAACTTAGTTCACCGACAAGTTCATTTCACCGACAAGTTTTTTTTTATAAATTACACTAACCTTAACTCTAATTTAGCCTGACCTTAACGACAATGACCAGAATTACTTTGTCTGTGAAATGAGCTGTCGGTGAATTAATTGTCGGTGAAATGAACTTGTCGGTGAATTAATAGTCGGTGAACTAAGTTGTCGGTGAAGTGATTGTCGGTGAAATGAGCACCACCCATTTTAAGCTTCGTAATCGTAATGATAGTGGGATGGTTTAAGGGATGAGCATTATAGTTAATGTTTTAATGTGAACTGGGTAATATTCGATTATTATCGTAAAGATGACTTTTGCTTTATAACTCGAAAGAAAAGTTTGTCTTTAATTACTAACGCTACACTATAAGAAAAAATATTTAGTCGTTCTAATTAAGTTGTTTATTTCACATTGTTACTGATTCGATCATTGACATAACGCAACACATGGTCGAGTTTTTTTTTATGAAGCCAATTTTGGTCAGGTGATCTTAAGCATCACGTGAATCATCGGTGTAAATTCTGAATCCCAATAGGAGGTCGGTTCTACTCTAAAATCACGACATTCGACACATTCAATATTCCGAAACCTAATTATCACATCATGTGATGTCGGGGTTTCAATATTCAAAAGTCCGCTTTTGATTAGTAAAATATATTACTAATTAAAGACGGAATTTGGAACCCCGACATCACACGATGTGATAATAAAATCATCATACAAGGCTTTAGCGCATCCTTGGGAGGTTTTTTTTTTTTGTAGGTTGCGCAGAATTACGTTGCTACAAGGCTTTAGCGTCTCCCCAAAAGAGTATAATACTGCATTAAAGGCTGCGAAATCCAAAATAAATTTTCACGATCTTTGAATTCATGCAAAGAAAGTGAGAATCGCTAATATAAATGCAATCAGATGAAACAGACTGAAAAAAGAAAAAAAATCAAAATCAATCTATAAAAACCTCATCTAAGCCCAATTACTATAAAGTTCTGAAACTCTTCATTGAATTCGTGTGAAATAGATGAAATGTAAAATTATTAAAAAAGCTTAATATTTTTTTCAATAAACTTTAATATTTTTCTTCAATAAACTTAATATTTTCTTCAATAAACTTTAATGCTTTT